CCATAGAAAATTAAGCTGTTACTACAAGGAAGTTATTTCTTTTTAAAATGATACTTGTTTTTCTATAGCCTACTGTGTATTGTAGATTTTTTTATTGCCCTAAACTGTTCTGAAATATGCGCTTTGCAACGAGAACGCGTTTAATCACGCGAATAGATGCACTGCCATTTACAACATTACCCCAATCACTTTACTTTTTGTTTTTAATAACCTTTATCAGAAAAGTAAAAATCGTCAACCAAGGTCTGTAATTTTCAAGAATTACAAGATGCAATTTTACCACTTTCAAATTAAATTCCATGTGTAAATCTGTATACATAGATAGCGTTGTTGTTAATGTGTTCATGTGAACTTTCCGTTGCCGTTTGTGATCTACAAATTTCAATTAAAGCGGCCACCGCCTCGAAAATATTTTTCTGGTTTATTTATCGGTTTCAGCTGGAAGCTGAACCGCTCCGGTGGCCTAGTGGTTAGAGCATCAGCATCGGATGCGGGAGATCGTGAGTTCGATCCCCGGCTGAGTCATACCAAAGACTTACAAAAATGGTACTAACAGCTGCCTCGCTTGACCCTCAGCATTAAGAGGTTAGTCTTAGGACTGGTCGGCCTGGTGTCAGGATAATGTGACGGGGGGGGGGGACATTATGCTACATGTCTGCGGCTTGATGCCCCAGTGCTAGACATCACTATAAACTAACACACTGCACACATCATAGCGATATGACAGAAAAATTGTTAAAGCTTTGTCAAAAATCATAATCTCAAATTACATGCTGGAAGCTATTCCAAGATTGAAATACTCATGTTCTACATGATCCCGATGATTTCAAAACGCATGTATATTAAAACATTTGCATGGTGTCTGAAACAGTGATCCAATTTTGGGGAAAATACATTCTAAAAATAAAAATGAACGTTAATACGCATGTATCATTGCATGAGATTAATGACACGAACTGCCTACAAAAAGATCGATTAAAGGACAAAAGTAGATCAAAGTACCAGGAAACCCTGAATCATAGTAGACTCGTCTGATATATCGAAGTTGATCTTCCAGAAACAAACATTAGTAGCCGACCGCAGAGTACAAAACAAATATGAGAAAGACTTTGTAGTCAAAGCAAAATTAACGCCAGTTATAAATGAATACCATGTTTGTTCACCTGGGTCCTGTTGGTAATAAAAAGTGCCGATCGTATTTTGAAAAAAAAAAATGAATCTATGTTTAAGTCCTGACCTTGTTTACGATTTTGATCGCATTTTCCATCTAAAATAAACCATATCCAGTGTATTATGTTGCGTCACAAGTCAGGTGATAATCTGTATATAAAGGATATGGTAGACAAATTATTCATGTCTGTTTTAATATCATTCTTTGGGAATCTATGATCAAAGTTTGTAGTTGTGCTCAGTTAATATTCTAAAATTTTGGTCTTGTCAGAGAACATTTATGATTAGCTGAGATTTAATTCACAATACCGTTAATTTCTACTGAATTTTCTCTTTGTAACTTGGAAAAATAAATTATTTATTAATTTTACTAGACTTGCTAGTTCCATGAGTCGTAATACTTAAACGAAAATGTTTATATCAAAAGAGTTATGTTAAGCAACTCTCAGTTTAATCAACCTCATTGTTGTTGTTGTGGTGGTGGTGGTTATTGTAGTGGTGGCAGTACTTCCAGTTGTGAAAATTTCGAGTTTCCACAACCAACGCTTGTAATTTAATACATATATATCTTGGGTTCTCCTAGTAGCAGTTATATACGGGTTGTAAGGCTACACACGAAAAATAGTGCACTGCTATATTTGGCGCCAAATGAAATGTAATAACTGGGTTACGGTAAGCTACTTAGCAATAGTGTGTTTATAGATTGCATGGAGAAAAAAATCTGACATTTGGTTGGTGATATATCCTGTGTTAGTTTGTTATTTAATTAACTTTATACCTCTTTATCATATTTCCCTTATTACAAATGTAAATGTTGGTTGGTTGTATTTGTGTCATTCTCAGTGTGTGTGTGTGTGTGTGTGTGTGTGTGTGTGTGTGTGTGTGTGTGTGTGTGTGTGTGATTCGACTTTTTACATTTAACGATATAATAACTTGCCTTTCATAATGCATGCTCAACCGTAATGGCTCAACATGAAAAAGAAAATCTTTGGCAGTACTGGCCTGAAGGAGGAATATTCATTGTCAATTTAATTTTAAAAAAATAGTAGACTATGTTGATTGGATGATATATTGGGGGAGGGGGCAAACATACTATAAAGACGTTGTTGTTTATATCTAGCAGAGGAACTGAGATCAAAGTGCCTTTCATAAGGGCACACCGTGGCTGGGATGGAACAGGTTTTGTGGCTGTAATGTGCATCAATACTAATGAGTTTAAATAAGCTAAATGTATGTATGTATGTATGTATGTATGTATGTATGTATGTATGTATGTATGTATGTATGTATGTATGTATGTATGTATGTATGTATGTATGTATGTATGTATGTATGTATGTATGTATGTATGTATGTATGTATGTATGTATGTATGTATGTATGTATGTATTGGTGTGTTTGAAATTTTAACTTAGCTTTAACAATTATTTGTCATATTGCTATGATGTTTGCAATGTGGCAGTTTACATATAGCATCTTGTCCAACCGAGTCACATTATGCTGACACCAGGCCGACCAGTCCTAACACTAACCTCATAATGTTGAGCGACTAGCGAGGCAGCTGTAAGTACAATTTTTAAAAGTCTCTGATTTAACCCGGTCGGGGTTCAAACCCGCCACCACCTGCATCCGAGGCGGACGCTCAAACCACTTAGGCCACAATAAAAGTTGTTTTATTTTGTTTCAAATGTTATGCTTATTTCTCAGCGGCAATATGTGTTCAGGAGAAAGTATCGCTTTTCAATCCTCCGTATAGTTTTCAGCTACACGGGTATACAAGGATCAGTTTAAAACCTATGGGTAGCGTGCAATTACAACTTGTATACAAATATCAGTTTCATTCCCTATGCGTAGTCCTCAAATATAACATGCATACACGGTCACTTTCAAATCCAATGTGTAAATCTCAAATAAATCGTGTATACAAATCCATTTTAAATTATGTGTGTAGTTCTCAACTACATAGTATTTACAAAGTCAGTTCAAACCCAATATGTAGTTCCAGCTACAAAGTGTATACAATCATTTTCATGTCCTATGTGTAGTTCTGGGTTACAACGTATATACAACGTTAGTTTTAAATCCTATTCATAGTTCTCAATAACAACGAGTTTCTAAGTGCCAGTCTTACTAAATCGAATTCATTCCTGAGTTTGTATTTTAATTATATGCAATCCACTCGAACTTGACTTACTCAGGAAAACTAATTTGCATTTCTAGGAATGTCTTTATGTGCAGGTTTGATTTGATGTTCAGTGATAAAGGAAACCTGAGTATCCGAAGAGTGCCAGCCCTTGAAATAATTTAAAAATGACGTGAAATCTGATCCTTTGAGAAAGTATATAAGTTATTTGACCTCTAATGAATCAACTCCTAGATGAAACCTTTCAATTGTATATGAACGGCAATTCTAGGACTCGATGCATGCTAATAGTATTGGAAAATAGGAACCAGTCTGGAAATGGGTGAAGATAAAATAGATTATTAATTGGTTTGGCTGGCCAGTATTGGTTGATAATGAAAGACAGAATTTAGTAAAATGAATCTCTTGAGAGTTTATCTCAGTCGTAACTGAAGATACCAAGACATAGTTTTACTGATTCAATTTCAGTCCTTTATCAGACTTGAGTTTGAAACACTCATTATTGAAATTAGCTCTTGACAAATTTTTAAGCGGAATTGAAAAAAGCACATATTTCAAACACAAGTAGATCCAGAAAATGCCAAGGTTCATTTGGTTTTCTCTAAATATATACTGTCATCCAGGATGCGTCTATACTGATAAAAATATGTTTGATCACGAGTACTTAGAAATTTAAAGTTATTGAATTTTTAGTATCATGTTACTATGGAAAATGAAATAGTGCTGTGAGCCCTTCAATGGCTGGCATGTACTCTTTTGACCTTTGAAAAAAATGCCTCAATTCAGATATTACAGGTATAGGAAGGACATCAGGATGAAAATCCCTGGGTTATATAAATAGAAGTCAAGTAGTCAATAAAATGTCTCACGCGATAAATGAATGAATGTATGTATATGATTTTATGGCGTAAAATCCCTGGGTGATATAAATAGAAGTCAAGTAGTCAATAAAATGTCTCACGTGATAAATGAATGAATGTATGTATATGATTTTATGGCGTAAGCACAATCCTGGAGACATAGTAGCAAAGAAAAGCGAGGTAGCAAAGATGATAACGCAAATAATCTGGCCGAAACATTTATCAGATGTACCAATCTTGGCTACGCTTTGAGAGAGAGAGAGAGAGAGAGAGAGAGAGAGAGAGAGAGAGAGAGAGAGAGAGAGAGAGAGAGAGAGAGAGAGAGAGAGAGAGAGGTATCTGGAAGTTACGAAGATAAATCTTCTTTATTAAATTCTTTCGTCCCCAGGTGTCTTGGCATAATCTACACAACTCAGCTATCCATGTTTATAATTTTTACGGTGTTGTGGGAGTTAGACACACTAAAACATACGAATCTATGTATATACACGCACGTGCCTACATACCTACATAGATGACGAATCTACGGAGGGTGGAACGCGGATAAAGGTAGATAATCATCAATACTCTCAGATCCCATGGCAGAGGAAAGGAGTCCGATATATGTTGCCAGTTCTCGTCTAAATAAATGAGATTTAAAGTATTCGTGATGATAATGTGAAATAACTGTATGACAGTTAACTGTGCTGTTTTGTGTTTTGAACAATGTGTGTCAAAGGCATACTGCATTTATTTTAATATTGACCGGGATCTGTAAATACAGTATTAAGTTATGACAACCATGTAGTTTGAAACTAGTCCATGATGACAGTTAAATGTAACCTCGTAATGAATTGCAGTTGAAAATGCTCTGTCTAAAAATTCCGATCTCTGACACATATGAAAAAAAAAACCTAAATGGCCCCACCCATCTTCCCTATTAGCAGTTTCAGCAGTCTGTTGAGGTTCCTATTGAAGCTTACACCTCTGCTAATCAGAAGTTAAGCTCTAATTTCCAAACAGATTTTAAACGTCACTACTGAAAACAGTTTTCAAAGGATATCCTGGTCAAGCAGCATATAAATATTTGACCATCAAATTTAAAATAAATTATTATTCATGAAACTCATGGAAAAAGAAGCTCTAGCAAGAATCTAAGGAAACGAAAAAAAACAAAACAAAACACGTTCTATTCAGATCGTTAAACCTGAACACTTATTGTTGGAACTTCAGTACTAATTCCGTTGTAAACATGTACCCCACCCCTACCTGAAGTTCTGGGATCGTTATGCAAAATTGTGTGTTTATGTATAGGCTTATGTTAGTTTGTTATACTGGGATACAATGAAAATGGTTAACACATAACTTCTGCAGCTTTGATGATTTATTTCAACAGGTGCGTGTTTATTTTTCTTAAAGTTGATAAGATGAAGGAAATTACTAAAAAACATAAAACCTTTTTAAAAGCCTTTTCGCTTATAACTGAAAGCAACATTTCATATTTGTCTAATGTCATAACATAAAAATCCCCATGTGTAAACTATTATATATATATATATATATATATATATATATATATATATATATATATATATATATATATATATATATATATATATATATATATATACATATATATATATACATATATATATATATATATATATATATATATATATATATATATATATATATATATATATATATATATATATATATATATATATATATATATATATATATATATATAAACCTTGTCAATATACTGACGCCTTTTCATATTATAAACGTACTTGATATGTTTAACTTTCATTTAATATACATTTTCGAGAATATTAGCATCTTTACGACTAATTTATTTGGAAAGGTTGCCTTCTTAATTTTTATGTAAATTTAATATTACATTTCTCGAACTTCTGTTTGCAATATCTAGCCAGTGTTATGCTGAGGTGCGTAACGACATATGCTTATACGTAAATACATACTGACGTTTTTTCTATGAAGTAGGTTAGCCATTGTTTCCAATGACTCGATGTGACTTAACACCGATAAATTATGTACTGAGCATTTTATACACTGACAGACTGTAAGGTGTAGTCTTCATATTAACAAAAAATGCCTTATTTGACTCCGTGCACAAAAAGATTAAAATGCATTTTATGTGTAACACTAGGGCTGAAATGTTTCAGATCACACCCACCCCTCCCAATTTCAACAGGACTCCTTACTGTGTCTAGACGCAAATCGATTGTGGGTCATGGGTCCTAGTTTAAAAACAAGATTGCATAGAAGCAGTAAAATGCCAGATGTATGCACATTTTATGAATAGTTGAAAAAAAACTTATAAGCAAACATTTTGACTACATACAATTAATCGGATATACATGATCAGTGAAATCGTACTATTTAGTATTTTATAGGGTCACACTAACCATTATGCAAATACTATTAAACTATTTTATCTACCTATACACTTGCATTATTAAATAAATATTCATGAACCTTTGCACTTCGTTGTATTTATGCGCCTTCATTCAGAAGTTTTAAATGTAAACAAGTCCGAGAAAGACTGAAAGACTGCACATGATAACTCGGGGATAATCCGATGACTTTTGGATATACCTTGTGGGAATCATTATTTAACAATAACACATCAATTATTGATTTAGGCATAACAAAAGATCCTTAGCCTAGTGAACTGGATAAGTTTTGTGAGATATAAATATTGGCACGTGACTTTTTGCATATATTAATCTTCGTGCATTTAAAATATGATCATAGGACAGTCCATCCGACCGAAACTTACCGATGAAAAAGGTGTATAAACTTGTTATACAATACAAAACGTCAGTAAACATCACAGAAGAAAGACATGAAATAGAAAAGGAAAACAGGTAAGGTTTTGGGATTAACTGGACATACGAGTAACTTTGTACACTCAGATCATAGTTTAAGAATATCTCATTATGAACTCTACTTTCAAACAGTTTCCAATCAGATGACACAAACTGAGTAATTATTCCGTAAATGCGATCACGTGATTTTGTGGAATTTTGCAATACTGTGAAAAATGGTGCAACACATTTATGTTTAGGGGGGAGGGGTTCTTTGTTAAAAGTGAGAAAACGATAAACAAACCTTGTTATTAAAAAGAGCTGCATGTATAAAGTTTGAAAGATATTTAATTTTACACTTTATTAGGAGATATTTAAATTTTTAATAGTTGTCATTAGTAACCTCTTTCAAATATTTGTTTTTTTTTTACTTATACTTGAAAGTTACTTTGATTTCAGATTCAAAACTATTAATTTTGTTTTTAAAAATATTGGAATATAGCCCTTTTGTTAA